TGCCAAGGAGGCATCTGTGGCAGCTGTGGGGCAGGGGGTTTGAGGACATGGGGTCTCACAGCTCTCGGTCAGCTGCCATGCTGATGTGTCATGGGAGCCTGAGGCCCTACAGCCAGTAATTGGACACCTAGAAGTATTTAGAATCCAGCTACCAGAAACTATAAGTGACACCTGTCAAAATAATGCTGAACTCTGAAACTTTCTTTAAAAATAAGATGAATAAAAATAGCCCTTTTCTCCTGGGGGAGGGGAGATGCTACCAGGTCCCTGGCCGTAGCTCTTTCCTGTCTCATGTAACTCCCTGCGTTCCTCTTTTGAGAGGTGTCTGAGTGCTCTGGGCCTGAGCCAGCCTGCGGATAGAATAGAGGCTTAGCTACTGTTAGCTGTGATCAGAGTTCTTCTGGAAAGGCAAGGTCTGTTCTAAAAACATGGAATTCTGGCCCTCCAGCCAGCCTGCCTGGATTCAGTGCTCACGTGCTCCTGGGACTGTTCCAATCATTGAGTGACTTTGCATCAGCACCTTCTGGGCGCGGGGAACAGCTGCCAGGAAGCTGGAAGCCCCCAGGGCCTTTATTATCTCTGTCATCTAGTTTACCCTTTCCCGACTGGGACATAAACATCTAAACTGCTTTTGTTCATCAGGGGTGGGTTACTTGGGGTTATGTTTATTGGCACGAATGGTCATTACACTTTTATCCAGTATAGCAACGTAGTCAGATTCTACACAACTTTTAAGTAGAAAGCAATAAAATGAAGATAGCTTGTTTTTCTCACCTCCAGAGAGCACCAAGCATGGGGTACAGGCCAAGTCGGAGTATGGAGTATTGTGGGGGGGTTCTGGGGGCAGGGAAGCCTTGGAAAAGGGTTGCGGGTCTTTGAACACCCTTGTCCCCTGCTCGGTATTTACAGGATGAATGAATGACGGGCAAGAGGCACTTACCTTCTGTTTTGCTTCCAAATAATAAATTTCCTTCCTTACTGTGAACGTGACATGGAAATGTGGTGTGTTCCTGGCATTGTTTTGATATAACTTGTGTCATTTTAATATTTGCAGCAACTTATTTTTTTTTTTGAGACAGAGTCTCACTTTGTTACCCTTGGTAGAGTGCTGTGGTGTCACAGCTCACAGCAACCTCAGACGTTTGGGCTTAAGCTATTCTCTTGCCTCAGCCTCTGGAGTAGCTGTGACTACAGGTGCCCACCACAACACCCGGCTATTTTTTGTTGTAGTTGTCATTGTTGTTTTAGCTGGCCTGGGCCGAGTTCCAACCTGCCAGCCTTAGTGTATGTGGCTGACGCCGTAACCACAGTGCTATGGGCACTGAGGCTTTGCAGCAACTTCTAATGAGCTATCATTCACAGGTTATGAAGGAGATAAGTTGTGTAGATTTTCTTCTTAGGTTGAATTTGTGTGTAAGTGGAAACAGGTACATTTCCCTACTGCCTGTAATAGTCCCTGTTCGTAAGTGTGAATCGCACATAAGTTGGATGTTTGTGACTTGGGGTCTTTCCTTGCTTTTGGAAAGTGAAGCTATGTGAGATTAGGCAGGGCCATATTCATTAAAAAGCCAAAATTAAAATAAAAAATAAAAATAAAAAGCCAAAGTTCTTGGTGGGACCACACCTACGGTGCACCTTACAAGGGTACATGTGAAATTTACTTGGTGTAGACTATAAATGTCTTAACACAATAACTAAGAAAATGCCATGAAAGCTATGTTAACCAGCTTGATGAAAGCATTTCAGATTGTATGTAAAACCAGCACATTGTACTCATGATTGCGTTAATGTACACAGCTATGATTTAATTAAAAAAAAAAAAGAGCCAAAGTTCTACCAGAATCTTGGGAACTCTAAATCCTATCTCATTTCCATGATATTCACTGTCTCTTGCAGTAAAAATCTTCCCCCAAATAAGATGCTCTCTCACACCTGAAACTGCCTGTATTAGCAGTGTCCAGAGAAGGAAGCAAGAGGCATGCACTCAGTGTGTGAGAGAGACAGACTTATTTTAAAAAATTGGGTCACGAGATTGTGGGGGCTGGCAACCCAGGACCCTCAGGGCAGGTCGGCAGGCTGGAGACCCAGGGAAGAGCTGCAGTTGTAGGGTGGAGGCAGAATTCCCTCTTGTTGGGGAAGGTGGGGGCCAGTCCTTGTTCTGTTAAGACCTTCAACTGATTGGACAAGGCCACCCCCATAATGGAGGCTAATCTGCTTTACTGAGAGACTACTGATTTAACTAATTGCACCTAAACCTCTGGAATAATCGACCAAATCTTCACAGAACCAGTTAAAAAATAATGTTTGACCAAATATCTGGGTACCGTGGGGAAGGTTTGAGGAAGCAGTTTGATAAACTAAGTCCAGAGAGGAGGCTGAGAATGAGCATTTTGGGGTTCGAGGCTACCAAGAGAGGCCAGATGGTCAGAGAGAGAGGGAGACCCTCTCAGGCCTCATCTGCAGTCTCTGAACCCTTTCACACCTGGCAATGGGTGCTGTGGACCCCCCCACCCCACACCAGCCCTTGGGTATTACAGGAGCCCCCCCGCTCCCTCCCCAAGTCAGCACATTTCTCTCCCTACTGCCTCCTGCCTTCCAGGGAGGCGAGGGCTGAGGAGGTGGTGGTGGGACGTGGGATGTAGGATTCCCAGCCTGCCCTTAGTTCCCTATTCAAACCTTCTCCCCAGCTTTGTGGGAAATCACTTTTGTTTGCCTCTTCTGTTCAGCCTTCCTTTGATTAACCCTCAGCCTATTTGCACAAGTGCATGTTTGTGTGTGGGCAGGAGAGGAAACAGCACACGCAGGTTAGTTTCACATCAGCTGTTTCACTCCTCACAGCAGGCCCTGCAAACTCAGTGCTTGGTACCCTGTTTTGCAAGTAAAGAGCTGGATTTCCCAGGTGCACCCAGCTAGCCAAGAGTCTCCTCCAGGCCTCTGACTTCAGCCCCAGGCCCCTTTCCACTCAGGGCTCATACTGCACACAGATGGCATTGCCAGCTTGGGTATTTGGATGAAGTGAGAAACCTTTAAAATTCCTGCTCTGAGGAATGGTGTGAGGGTAAAGGTCAGTGAGGGTAGGAAGAGAGCAACTGGCTGCCAGCGCACGTTGAGAGCATGTCTCGAATTCATTTGCTTATTCATTCATTACACAAACAATCAGTTCTGACCCTGTGCTGGGTGATGGGGAACACAGGTCTCATGCTACATGTTGTGTGTGTTAAACGCTGTCATCTTACAGCCCAGGAGCGAGGGAACCTGGCTTACATACTCCTGGGTTTTTCTCTCGCTCTCAGTCTCACTCTCCCTCTGTCCTGCACACAGGACATGTGTGATCCGTAACTGAGGCCCCTGACCTGGTCTGGAGGAGTCCCAAAGGGACGGGGACCCTGAAATTGGTATCTCAAGGATGAGTGACCACTGGCATTGTCCAGAGAGAAGGTCAGGGAACAGCATCCGGGGCCAAGGGAGCAGCTATGCAGAGGCCTGGAAGCTTTCCAGAAACTTTGTTGCACATGAGTCAGTAACAGAAGGCCCAGGCAATGCAGACAGCTAGAATGTAGGCTTGCTTCATTCCAGGGACAGAAGAGCAAATGTTTACCTTGTTGAAAAGGATGGTTAGAATTGGATCTTCAGTGTCTTCCAAACGGCGGGTTGCTACATATGAGTGGGCCATGAACTCGGTTTGCTGAGTTCCCGTCAGCATTCACAAAAGAATATGGAAAAATAGAGAAAGAGAGCATTGTGCATAGTGAGGGTAGGCTTTGTTTCATGGAACTTTTGCATGTTATATGCATGTATGCATGTTCTTGGTTTTTGTTTTTTTTATAAACACAGTCTTACTTTGTCACCCTCCATAGAGTGCTGTGGCATCACAGCTCACAGCAACCTCCAACTGCTGGGCTTATGTGATTCTCTTGCCTCAACCTCCCAAGTAGCTAGGACTATAGGCGCCCAGCACAAGACTAGGCTATTTTTTGGTTGTTGTTGTAGTTGTCATTGTTGTTTAGCAGGCTGGGGCTAGGTTCCAACCCATCAGCTCTGGTGTATGTGGCCAGTGCCCTAACCACTGAGCTACAGGCACCGAGCCATGTTCTTGGCTTTTGATGTAAAACCATTCACAAGGCTGTGGTCAGAAGCTACCCGCTCCTGAATTGCTGTGCTGGGCGAGCCCAGGCCTCCCCTCTTTCTTTACGCACATGGGTGCCTCTCCTGCTCCTGAGTGTGGCTGGAGGTCTGAGCTGGGGGCTGCCCACAGCTGAGAGTTATTAAATGCTTCTATATCAATTCCCAAGGTTTGGTGAGGAGTGTTTGGACCCTGTGTCTTGTGCTGTCCAGTCTGGATCTTTATGGACATCTCCAGTGTGCCAGGCACTGTGCCAGATGTGCCAGGCCTTGGCCTGACCTTAGGAGCTCCCTGTCCAGCGTGGGAGTCAGACCAGGAGCCAGATGATGCTCATGAGGCTTGTGATCTCTGAGAAGGGTTGAGGAGGCCTCCCCAGAGGAGGTGGCATACAGTCCGGTCTCCATAAAGAGGAAGAAGTACCTGGTGAAGGGGTGGCATTCAGAAGGCACTGCACACGCAAGGGAAACAGGAGATATGCTAGAGGGTTGTGACAGGCTCCTGGAGAGGTCAGACTGGTCAGGAGCTTGGGTTTGGTTTTAGGCAAGGGAATGACGTGATCAGCTCTGTATCACTCTATATCCAGAAAGTACACGGAGCAACTTTGTGTGTAGTGGATCGGAAGAGGACAGACTGGAAATGGAGAGGCCAGTTAGGAGGCAGCTCCAGGAAGCTGGTTGAGGACCGTGTGGCTAAACCAGGGAGCTGAGCCTGTCAGTAGCCCTTGCACAAACTTTGTGACTGAACATCCCAGAAACGGGCCCATTCTCTACTGGCCACCCTGTGGTTGAACCTTTAGGAGACACAGCGGTATAGTGAACCCTCAGGGGCCTTCTACCTTGGGGCCTTCTGTTGAAAAGTGATTTCTCTTCCTTTTCAGTGCAAACCTCAAGGGAACCTGGCTGGCTAGAAGGGACTCTGAATGGCAAGAGGGGGCTGATTCCACAGAACTACGTCAAGCTGCTGTAGCCCCGGTCTTTGAGAGCCTCATGTGACCCTGGTACCCAAGGACCTGCCTGCAGGTGGTGAGCTGTCTTCCTCCCCCTAGGCCGCACCCCCAACCCAGCCACCTCCACTCTCGGGAATCACGGATCACGATGGTGGTGGGGGGCACATGCCACACAGAACTGTGTAGATTCACGCATCAGGGGAAGAACATCGGGATTAGCAGAATGGACTTTTCATTTGTCAAGCATCAGGACTTGTGACTTTTAATTAGCCAGCCTATAGAACGAGAGGGAGGGTGGCAGTCTCACCACCAGACCTCCTGAGCTTCCCTCTCCTCCCTGCTCCCATGCACCTGCTGCTGAGATTTAAAGGGAACTGTACTTCCTCACAGTGTTACATTTTCAGGGTGCACGCTTGGCTCTGGCCACTCCTGTGTGGCGGGGCTCCTGGTGCTAGGGGGAATGGTCTGGAGAGAGGCTGTTCCCATGCCTGCTCCCTCCCAGACCGCCAGCCAGGGCCCCGCGTGCACTCCGCCCAGATGGAGCACACCAGCGTATTTATAACAGGCTTCTCGCTCGTGCTCCTCACCTGTGTGCTGTTTTCCAAATACCACCTTGTTTGCCTCAAGGTCTCTGTAAATGAAATAAAATGTAATTTACTATT